AATACTTTAGTTATTGAAGATAAACACAGCTTAAAATCTCACTAGTCAAAGTTGTGCAGGAAAGATTAACAGACAACCGAAAGTTTTGGACCTATTGTTGGGTGAACGGAAGACTGACTGAATCATAAGGTCAATCTATGAGAAGCTGATTTCGACAGGCTAATATCTTATTATCCATAGTTGCTGTATAGTCCAATATAAACGTGATCCAATAAAATGCCAACTGAACAGGACACATCACATCCCACCCGCACGCACAACACAAACGAAAATGAAACAAAGACGCGGACAACAGCGTTGATACAAAAAGGATATTCAATGAGATTTTGGAATCCAGACAGTAGTTGTGTAGCTTTGAAACTTACTCATTGTTTAATTCCTAAGAAAATGTATGCATACCATTAACATTTATAGGTGATTCGCATAGTCTAATGGAGAAAAAGACAGGCAAGTCATATGGAAAACACACATCTTAGGCAAGGTCATCATTATCGAGAAGACAGTCCACGCTACAACACAAACCATGAGAACACATCGAAGGTAAATATGAATAATAAGCATATAGTAGTCCTGATATGAAATTGAGGACGCTTGAATATTTAACTAAGTTGCTTCAAAAGCAAATGAGATCAAATGATCCAGTAAGTGTAGATGAAAAATATTCATCTTCCTCTTTTATGAATCATCTTAGATACTAGTCAACAAATTGACATTATTACTTCCTTTAAAGTATTGCGTAAAATTATTAAGAGATGTATGCTTGAATTCATCGAACTTCTAGACATAGAAAAATTCACATCCCTTTTAGTGGTAATAACTTTACACCCATTGCAGTATGAATTTCAACAGAAATAATTTGGCAAGTCCATGAGTGAACAGACTGTTCGAAATGTGCATTGGGTGTTTCACATAATCTTCATCTTCTCATTATGTGGTGTGAAAATTTACATTTGTTAAATAGGATTTATAAGAAGTTGGTAATATCAGTACACAGCTAGCTTCATTTATTACAAGTTGAACGGTAAACATTCAATGAAATAGGTCATCACATTGTTCTTCTTTGAAAGTGGATGCAGATTAGCTAAATAAATGTTCTGTTCTAAGCACCTTGTTTTCTTTTGAATCTAAATTACATGTTTCTTTTTAACACTTCCTTGGTGATGCGAGTACCCTATTGTGCTTTCAGACTGACAACTTTTTCTTTTGGTTCTTTTTTTATCTAGTTTTACTTCATATCATACAAATTTAACTGTAGTTGTCAAAAATCAGACTGCTGTGGCGGTAACTCATGACTTTAAGTGCAACACACTCATTTAGTACTGAATAGTTATCATTTCGACTATCTGACATAGTCATAGTTCGGTAGACTAGTATTGATACTTGGTGATGATTGAGGGTGAAATGAAAATGTAGGCCGCGGCAGTATTCGAACCAACGACAACCGAGTTTCCTGCCCGATGCTCTACTAGCCGAGCTACAAGATCCGACTGTTGACCAGGTTTTTATTTCACTTCGTTTAGCAGTCAACGAAGGTACTGCTTGAAATTTCACACTGTCGTCATTAGACACTACATAAATTAACAAATACTTTTGATTACGGTTGCTCGGTATGCATGCAAACAGAAATGGCTACATAAGAAATTTTAGATTGAAATTTATCACGGACTGAGGTCACTTGGAGGGACATTGAAAACCTGGGGGGACTAGATAGCTATTTCGTTCGAGTATGGGACTCTCCAGCCGTGCGCACCCATGACCCCGCCAGCGCTCGAGCCCAGTACCGTAGGGTTCCACGGCCAGTACTTTATCATTGAGCCACTATGTCGGAATCCAATGGTCCATATTTCCTACTTTTGTGCTCTCAGGTTTCCAATGTTCCTATAAACGATGTCAGTCCATGATAAGTCCCAACTTAAAATCAATTAATAAATCCTTACAAACCTCCAGGTAGAATATATAATATCTAACAAAAGAATGAAAGTGCGGTAAACTATTTGTGAAGAAATGAAGACAACATGATTTTTACCTACATAGTCAAGTGATTTACATATGGCCAACATATGGAAATAAAGGAACTAAGTTTGGTTATAAATCAGATTGTAAATTGGTTTTGAAAGTGAAGTGAAAATAGTTTGAAAAGCCAGCAATCACCTTTACTTTGTAAACAACTCTGGCTAAGCATATATTCTTTCTTAAATTTTTATAATGGAAATAAAATGCACCTTTGATATAAGGTTTGAGTATACACTTGGAATTATTTATAAGCGGATGTCATCTTTGGAGGGAAAGTCTACATTTCGTTTATTCCTTATTGATAACCAAGACAATATTACTTATCTCAATACGTAGAGATCTGAATTATGTTGGTTGTTGGATGCGTGGCCTGCCTAAAAGGGTCCAAGTAATTATCCTTCTTTTCTGCCAAAAGGCAATTGTGTACCCATCAATTGTTTGATGTCTGGATATTCTACCGAAAATGACCACTTGCTTTTGACTAGCTCTTACTTCGAAGTTATCCACAGAGTGAGAAACAATTTATCAAAATCAATACATGCTCACCTTCTCTGTATTATCAAAGCTCTAAGTAGTTGGTTGGAGATAAAGGAGTTCTGAATGAAAAAAAATGATCAAGACAACCTTTTGAAGTTTTATGATCCGGTCTTTGTTTCCATAAATCATCCCCTCTTTGCTACCCTGCCTCACTTTGTTTGCCTGAATTATTCTGTGCTGCCTTGGATAAGTAATCATTCTTGGCGTATTTTGTCGTGTCAAAAACATCGCTACTTCGCCGTAGTTACCTTCACCCAGTTTTTCAATTAGTTTTTGAATAATATTCTCTGCCCACAATGACGTTGATCTTTTGCCCTGAAGTAAACTACTTTGTTTTTTATCATGTAATTTAAAAAAAATTATCTGAAAATAGATCGAAGTTTAAAAAAGTGAGTTCATTGAACTTGAAAAATTTGGCTTTTGGAATGAAATCTAGTACTTTAAAAGAATAAAATGTTTCCTATGTTTGCTAAGATTCATCAGTAGTATAACGTATTTAAACTATTCGATAACTTGCACAGGTTTTATTCTCTGAAGAAGCGATTTCCACGAAGTCGCGAAACATCAGAAATTTATTTTTCTCTTTCATTGAGATTTTACGAAATATATTTCATTTTTAATCCAATTACCTAATGCTCAACTTATTCAACTCTATCAGATCAAATTTTGATCCTGATGTTTGCAAAATTAACTGGTTATGTCATATGAAATGAATGCTAAGTTTCATTGCAATACTTTATAGATGGCAGGTTGAAAGTTATTATCCTAATAACCAGTGAAACTTACTATGGACAGGGTTTCTAATGAAGAGTTTAAATAGTTTGTATACCAAACATCTTTTATATAAATTTCTTGAGCAACACATTTCTCGGAAGAAAGTGAATACTTCAGGATTTATTTTCATTCAATAAACAGGCTATCGAAGTGGTGTAGAACCTGACGTAAAAGTGCGTCAGTCTAATCTATCATATTTCACAATAGCTTAGGCTGAGTAAGTGAACAGAAAGATTATGTTGAGATGAAAGGAGTGTATAAAAAATGAAGAGTATTTAGAGAAGTAATGAAACATCAAACACCTCCCAAATAATAATCTTGGAAACAACAATCCTCTGAAATCGTTCTTAGCTATTTTATTGATTGTATACAGACACACAAATTTGTCCTCAAATGGATATCATTCAAGCAGCTTGTAACGCAATCATAGACAAAGTTCTAATGATAGGGTTGAGTTCTCAAATTACCCACCATAAATACAAATATTCTCCATCATCTCAGAGTTCTAATGGGTCCATTCCAAGTCTTGGCTTAGACTCATTAAAATTTTTTAAATCTAATTCAACTTCCACCTAATTTGAATGGTGACACAGGTAGCCCATTATCGTGTACAGCATGTATTCCTCCTACCTCAGTTTTCTACTTTCTATAAAAAAAGTATCTCGACACACAAAGACGAAAAGTTTTAAAATTAGGGTTAGTCGCAAGGTTTCATAGAGAGCGACTGGTTGGAAATAGTACTGCTGGAAGACTGTCCTAAAATCTTATCACCAAATGTTTAAGTAAATTCGAATAAATATGACTAAACGAGTTCTTGAACTGACAACAATTTTTCATCAGAAATGCTGTGTATGAGGTCTATTTTCCAATAGGTAAGAGCCCAAGCTACTGTTGTACAAACCTGCACAGTATATTTCTTTTACCCGAAATTGTTGTAAAGTGGATAAATATTTAAAAACTGAATTTTGAAACTTTACTTTTGATATTGGTAGACAGTTGAAAGCCAACACCTCATCTCATATTTTCTAAGTAACCATTTATGAAAAAATCAGTGAAGTTTAGATTTGTTTGAATCCACTCGTCTGGTTTCCTAAAAGGATTAGTAATGGATGTGTACACAGATTTAAAGCCATATGTTATTAGAAAATTTTGATAGGGTAGATATGTTAATATTGATAGTATGTTGCTCATGTGAATAATTAAAGGCAGTGGGCGGTAAGATAAGTTCTTCAGGAACCGCTTTATTCATAAGGGACTTTAAAGAGATGAGTTGTCTTACTTTGAATGTTATCATGGGTTTAATATCATAATTACGAAAAGTAAACAAGAAATGATTGTTGTCCACAGTTAAGCACTTATAGCCAAATAAGGAACCAGAAGTATCCTGCAGCGTCCGAAAAACAAAAGTGATTTGGTTGGTAACCTGATGGTACAAATTCGTTACTTGATGAGTCAACATATATATATATATATATATATATATATATATATATATATATATGGCTAACCTTATGAACGTTGTTTGGACAAGCTAATTACTCAAATAGAAAAATTATTTTTCATAATTTAATTATCAACCCTATTCTAATTATTTATTTATTTTATTACTTTTGCATCTCCTATATCTAATTTTGTAAATGTCCATATGCGTGTCAAAATGCTATTATCATCTAAAGTAAGTCTAGATGGATTTTTGGCATCAGTAAAAAACCAAACTCAAATCGAAATTTATGCATTCAACAATCTGTTCTCTCCAACAATTTCGATTGCAGTTAAGCTGGAGCATAGGATCGTTGGTAAGTCAAATTTCTTATCCTTGTTGCCACATTATAAATACTCTAGTAAGACAGTAATATGGTCATGTATTACGACAAATGATTTCTATATTTAAATTTAGTCCTTCAAGCTATTTGACAAGTTATTTTAACACTTCGAAACTGTAAGACTTTCAAAAATACAAAATTTACTCACCCAGAAGAACTAAAACCGACAATAATGTGCAGTGAAGAGTTCCTTTAAGGCAGTTTAAAGGTTTAACCTAATGTAAATTTGTGGTTACACTTACCAACGAATCCCGTAGTCCATTCGTTAACCAATGTTACTTGAACCACGTGAATTGCAAATTCGGTATTTATTTCAGTAGTGGTAATTTCCACTAGCACTAAAATAAATATGAAGACACCTGAATATGTATTAGAATGTGGAAAGTAAAGCTGCGTTTCAATTGTTTCCGGTTTGGTTAGCTGAAGAAGATTTTCTCAGTAAACAAGTACCACTTAAAATTGACTTTCTTTTCAAAGTAAGCATTCCCTTTCAATGAGGTAAAAATTAGCTACCTACTGTTAATCTGTCAGTAGGCGACTTTAATTTATCACAAAATTTCTTCACAGCTTTGAAATGGCTGAATGAATTTTTTTGAAGATAACAAATTAACTAAACTGACAAATAACAAATGTTTAATCTCATCTGTAACGTAGGCTAGAAGATGTACTGATTCAATATGGCCATTTAATTTACCAAAAAGTTAAAATGTGGCACAGTATCTAGACTTATAAGAACCAGTTCTAAAGAGCTTTCAGTCTCTGTTTTAAAATGTATAAATGGATGGAAAAACAGAAAGATGATGGTTTTAGAGTTCGTTCGCTAATCCTATTCAGAGAAACATCCATTCATTCACCAAAGTTTGAATACCTGAAGAGAGGAATACTTATTTCCAGCTTAATTGTCATGCATACCGTTAAACTTTTTCTAGACAGAGGTATTTCAGTCGGCTTACACTTGATAGGCAGCTCAAGTGTTTTCAGTATGGAAAAGTCATCTTCTCCTTGTGATATTTACTGGTATATTTTATATTCAATGCAGAGTGATATTTCCTTGGCCTTCTGTAGATATTTTAAGATTACTACATAGGTATACTTTTTATATTAGAGGACATACAGTTTTCAAAACCTGGAGTAGAAGGTGAGTTGAAATATGGAAAGAACTGTGTGTCTTAGCAAAGATGTAAAAACTGCGGATGGGTTTTGAATAGGTTTTTCTTAAGAGTGCAGATTAACCCCAGTTTCTTAGGAATAATGTATGGTAAAATACTTTGATAAATCATTAATGGCAAAGACAACTTGTCTGATGAAATTTGCAGTTAGTTCACCGGCCAAAATGAGTTTTAACTTACTGAAAACGAATCAGTCTAGAATTAAAAGAGCAATAACTTAGGAATGCTTTCTAAAAAGTTGATTTCATCGAATCCACAGGTTCTGTTGCGTACCAACTTAAACAGTATGGGACAAGTGAATAATTAAGATTGTTTATTGCACACTGACATTGAATTGTGCTCTAGTACATGATTTTTCAAGGCTAATCATATGGTTCTTTTCTTTGAAATGCATTTGTAAATTTTTTAAGAGAAAAGCGTAGTATTCTTCATTTAAGCTTGTTTCTTTTCTTTTTGTTGCCTTTCAAAAGTTCATTTATACCACAAACAATTACTAAAAACTTGGTATTCAGAACTCCTCATTTAGGTGGATTATGATTTGATAAACCCATCTTGTCTATCGATTTTGATGTATTTTACTCCTTCCCTCTGCTGCGCATAACAACGTAAGTTGTGTATGAATACATGAAAAACGTATGATATTTACGTTCACCGAGGTTCTTCTGACCTCATGATTTGACTTCACTAGCTTATAAGACTGAGAAACTATCTCCACAGTTTTTCTTACAAAACTAGAAAAATATTGTGTAAATATTTCTACATCCCAATACCTGTCCGTCAGCAGGATCTACAGAAATTATACTATACGTTTTCTTCATGTTTTCTCAAAATCAAATCCACACAAACCACTCTGATAGTTAGTGTGAGCCTTAAATGATTGGATATCCAATTTTATCATTGTGGAGTACAGTTTTAGCTTCTATCTCAAGCTAATACAGTGCGTAAAATCATATGGTTGACATTACATCTAAGTTTATCAATATCAGGTTCCTTCCACAAATATGAAACAAATTTTATCAACTTATACTATTCGTTATATTTTATTCTTCGGTTATCTAATATGTTAGGTTGAATGCAACGTTCTTGGCTTTAATATCGTCATACTGAAGATCAAAGAATAAATTTTAGCCAGCGATGCATCTTGTTTCGTTTCCCTTTCGATGAAATAATATTAACTTTTAGCGAGAAAGCTTGCCTGCTTCATTGATGAAAGTTTCTTCCTCATTTGCAAAAACGTTTTTACTATACTTCAAATTTTAAGATAATTATGCATTCACATAAATTTAGAAGCTTATTTTTTAGTCCTAACATTGCTGCTAAATTTTTCAAAACAGTTCACAAGAAGTTTTGTCTGAAAAGTGATTCCCTTCCTATTAACTCTCATGAAAACAGAACCAAACTGTACCCAGCTGTGTATCTAAACCAATGAGCTGCCACATATTGCTCAAAACATATGTAGGATAGGTTGAAATAATAATTCATAACGTCAGTGTAGAACTCCGTCTAGTTTAGTGCAGCTGGTGTTACGAATGTTAACTCGAAAGTGTAACAAATTCAGAAGATGACTTTAAAATTAAGAAGATAAAGATTTCACTTTTCAGCATCAATATAATGTCTTTTTCCGTATCAGACTTGAATTAATAATTGCAAACAGTTCCTGACTTTTTTAATACGTTGAGTAACTACTAATTCTGTGTACAATAAATAGCGTTAGGCCCACATATATGCCACTGTTTACCGCTATCAAGTTATGTCCTAATTCGTGATTTATTTAACCATTTAGGTATGTTTTACAATGCATTTTTGATCTGATTACTTTTTATGGCATATATGAGTGCATAAGGTTTTCATATCATGGGACAGAAAGGTTGTTTTTGTTGTGCATAAACAAGGTGAAGCAATATTTCGCGGAAGTTCATTCTCAGTATCGTGGCACAAAGCTGCTTCATCTTGTAAAAAACAAGATTTTTGGTTTGTCATTTAACTTTCCGTCAACAGGATAACCGACTTCATTGGCATTCGCTTCATATGTATGTGGAACCCTCGCAGTCCACATGATTGCTTGTGAAGTCTATTCGCTGACCTTGAGCATCATTGGCTTGTGCCATGGAGTGACCCATCTTCTTCTAACAAGAGGTCAACCTTTATAATGGTTGTCGTCATCGCACCTGTTCTGTAAGACTAATATCTGACTGCTGGTTTGCTTGATTGATTCCCAGTTGACTGGTCCCTTCTTAGTAACCCGTATTTCCGGTCAATGTCCATGTGTCTGTTGATTGACATTTGATTGGAGTATCGTGCTTCCAAATACTCTCTTGCCGTTTTTCAGCTTGCTTGTTGTAGTATTTGCACGTTGTTTCAATTGAGGTGGTGCTTGTATACATCTACATGTATCGAAATCAATGAGGATATGTCATTTCGTTTGACCGTTGTTTGGTGATTATAGATTCTTTGGTCTATTCACTGATTGGATTGGCCGACCTACTGATGTTGACAGTCCTTGGAACTTCTGGCATGAATAATGACGACATTACATATCGTCTAGAAGTGCTAAATATGAGCCATTTGTCAATCATCCTACTATATGGAATATCACTTAACAAAATTAAAGAAAAATGGTGCGATTAGTGATGTCGGATGCATGCAGCAGACTCAAGAAATACAATAAGATATTCACAACCTAATTATAAATACTGGGATAAATCTCTGGGACAGTGATTATTAACCAACTTCAGACTGCCATAAATATCATACCGAAAGCAGGGGCTATAAAAGAAGAAGGAAACTAAAAAAAATTCTGCTGAAGCTTCTCAAATCATTGGAGGTAGAATCAAAACTGAAGTCGGCAGCGAATCTTTCGCAAAGAACCTCATCCCCAACAGGATGGCATTTAATTCAAAAAGGATTAAACTACAATATGGACTTCTGTACAGCTTTTGAGTATTTGCTAAAAACTGCATGAATTATGACAGAAATAAATAACCACGAAATTTAGTCATGCCGTTCAGGAAAATCAACGGAAAGAAGCATCACTTCAGCACACACTAAAGAAAAACACAGGAACTAACTCATATCGGACAAGAAAACTGTCATGCTTTCAGCAGACAAAATAAGGGAAACGGTCAACACTAACGAAGTTGACTACGTGAAAAAATGCATAAGAAGTACTCACTGAAAATAGCACGTACCAACTGGTGGACAATAATCTGATCAAACAAACAGGCAACCTAATTCTAAGAAAACTAAACAAACTAAAAGAATGACAATGACAAATAAAAACAAATGATGGATTTCTAGATAGATTCTACGGTCTGCCAGAACTAGACAAGGCAGATTTATCTTTGCGACCAATATTGTCACTACCATTAATACTATTTTAATTTATCCAAAGAACTATGCAGACAAATAAAATCTTTTGATTGAAGTTAGCAACCGGTCAAGTCAGTGACTGAATTCCTGGAAAGAGTGAATGACCTCAGGATAGACAACGGCCAGAAATTGTGTACTTCTATGTAGCTGCATTTTTCTCGTCAATAAATCGGCATCTCTTTAAAGAAACAGTGAGTATCCTTTTCAGCAATGACCAAAAACTTCCAAATTTACGAAACTTGCCACTAGAAACTTGGCAGAACTAGTCACTCTACGTATCACAACATAATTTTAGTTCAACAGGCAAACAAATTAAAAGAACTACTCTGTGCTAATCAGTATCCAGACTGATTGGTGAATCAGTGATTTGGAGATTAGAATCAGTCAGCTCTACAATAATTAGAAGGAAAATTTTAATTCTTTTCACCGAAGACG